CGTGACACATGAATGGCAAGCGCTGACGTAACATTGCTGACTGCGCGTTCTGGTATGCGAGTGTATGGGGCTAACGTGAGCTGCCATCACCACACTCAAGGACAAACGTAGATAAGACATGCCAGCTGACAGGTACAGTGCGTGGACTCGCCAGAAGACCACACTTTTCTCGGGCCATTATCTCCGTAACCGTTCAACTTTGGACATAGGTGTTTTGGGTTATATCGGCATACTATAACATAAGGAACACCCTCCTGAAGTTTGGCACATTCCTCCTGCGACACCCTGTATAAGTGTATGAAAGGTAAAGTTGTTCATATGCTTAACTAATTAAGTACTACACCATGAAGGCGTATGGGGGAGTGGATGTATAGATTCACATTTTCTTGATCTCGGCACTAGTTGCAGGTGAGTGGTCAGCTTTACGCTCTGGCCCTTTTATCCCCTGGGAATGATCCAGCGGTACCCATTGAATAGGAGGTTGGGTGAACCGCAGAGCTGGTCTGGACGTGATGGAGAAGTGAAAATTCTTGACCCTACCGGGACTGGAACTCCGACCCCTCGATCGTAGCCAGTCGCTATACCGATACGGCTCTTCATATATCTGTATTAGTAGAAATAATGTGATTATTTGGAAGAAAAACAGAGGTTGAAACAATATCAGCCACAGACATTGTTCTCCTCAGTTTTAGCATCAGCCCAGTTAAACTTGGTAGCGTTCCAACACATCTAACATACGAAAGACAAAACGCTGTTTTCCTCCAGACGAGTCATCTTGTGGCAAAACATTTAAATGTCATTTAACGACTTGCGATCATGTTCCCTGGGTAAGGTGTTTTACAGAGACCTTAAATTTGACATAAAGACTGGTGTAGTAGTGCCCATTGAAAATTCGGCGGAGTGTCTTATTGAGTATATAAACTATATTTTTTTTCCCCCTTGGCACTACAGCCCCAGTGGCCCTAGCCTACCTCCATGAACTCCGTTCACTTCGGTTTTTCTAGATCTTACACATACGGTAGGACTCCTTGGGCGAGTGATCAGCTCCTCGCAAGGCCTCTACCTGTACACAAACACACAAAAACGCACACAAACATCCATGCCCTGAGTGGGATTCGAACCCACGATCTCGGCTTCCGAGCGAGCGAAGACAGTGCATGCCTTAGACCGCTCGGCTACCGTGACCGGCATAAACTATATTAGGGTTTGTGTATACATCTTTCCCTTTTGTTTTCTTCTAGTCTTATGAATATATTGTCACGATTTCGTGATTAGTCAAGGGGTTTGGATTGATTATTAGATGTATTGAACACTTGTAACTAATTGCACGTAACTACACGTATAATAGTTTCACTGATCTACACTGTAAATCAGTACTCCATACATCAGAGATTCTATGTCTTCACCGCACGTTGCTAGATAAATGCAACAATGTATATATTTCTCTGTTTCGGTGCTCACGTCCTCACTGTAAGGCTGCTGCCTCGCCTCATGTCGGACCGCATAGGAAACACCGCCTCACACGGTTCTTATGTTGTTCGGTGTTTATTAGTTGCTTAGCAATTGTTCGCTTGTTTGTTGACGTATGGGCGTGTTTATTGTGCCATTGCCTAGCAGTGGATGACATCACTTGTATACTACCCCGTCATGTGACAATATACTTCGGATCTCTAGTGTACCGTTATCACAGCCGCTCGCTTTGTTACACGTACTCATGCGTACGAAACAGTTTCCTAGTGCAGAATGCAGACTTTCATTATTCTCGGCAATAAAGGGGGTTCGCGGAATATGCAGCCATTTTCGCTGTGCACTTTTTCACTAAGAATGTTTCCATTTCCCAACACAAAGTAAAAACGTTACCTGCCTTTTGAAATTACAAACGTGAACCGTTACATATTCAGTACAGTTAAGCTTTTAATGCCAACATAAAGGGAACACAAAGTTGATGCCTTTTCCAGTACATGCATAGTGTGGACGTGACTTCTTGTTCATGCTCAGGTTTAGCCTCGGGCAAACATAAGAAATTTATAGCATTGACTATGACGACGTCAACAACAGGAATGGATTCGTGTTCTTAGACTGTACCGATCCCGAATATTGTGTTCAGAATTCATCTGTCCTCATCTTTAAGTGTCCTCTGATCTTCCTTTTAGACAGTTTTCATTTATATAGCTACGGAGTCGGGTAGCGTAGACGGTAAAGCCACTGGCTACGAGCTGGACGACCGGGGGGTCGGAGTTCGAGTCCTGGTAGGGTCAAGAATTTTCTTCAGAGTCCAGGCCGGGTCCGAGGCCCACCCAGCCTCCTGTCCAGTGGGTACCGGGGTCTCTTTCTCCGGGTATGAAGCGGCAGGAGCGTGAAGCTTACCACCACCAGCTAGTGCCGAGGTAATGGAAATATGGAGCTATACACCCACTCCCCCATACACTTTCTTGGCGTTGTGCTTAATTAGTTACGCACAAGGACAATTTTACTTTACTTAACTCAGGCGACATAGCCACGACGCTACAGGCTGGACGACGAAGGAGTGCGACTTCGATTCCCGGCAGTGACAAGAGACTTTCTCCTTAACATTCGGACAGGCCCTGGGTCTCAGCTAGCCTCATGGCCAGGAAAGTGCAAGGTCTTATCGTTAGGGTGTGAAACAGACGAAGTTTGCGAAGTGACTTGGCTTTGTGCTCATCTGCAGGCGCCGAATTTTATTTCTGTCTTTTTAGTCGATATACTTATTTTCAGACAATAGAAAATAATTTAGTAGTGAGGGACAGGTTTAAGAAACTTTTTTTAGCGTAATGCCCTTTCTTCCGAAAAAAAAGTAGGTTTATTAGATTGCCATGAAGTGTGGGCCTCCGCTTTTAACGTTTGAACTCAATAGCATAGTTGATTGAGGCACTGTGCTATAATCCGGAAGGTCGCGGGTTCGATTCTCAATGAGGTCATTGGATTTTTTAGTTTACATAATCCTTCCAGCCGCAGTATGGCCTTTGGGTCGACTAAGTCTATAACAAAAACGAGTGCCAGGAATCTTCCTCGGTGTAAAGGGCGACCGATGCGTAAGGCTGACAATCTCACCGCCATCTGTGAGCCGATTATCTAGAAAATATGGGGGCCTCGACATCTCACAACCCTATGGACCTCTACGGCCTATTACAGGGATAGCTTTACCTTTTTACCTTACTATAGACCTGTCTTTGTAAAGTTTCGTAGGAAAGTTACACCATTTGAGCCCACCCAAGCAATTGCCAATATCTGTGTTGCGCTTCTCATGAGCTCACGAGGTCGGAAGGGCAATCCTAAAATGACGGATGATAACAGATTCTGGAAAAATATGCAACGATGTTGAGTGAACTACATCATGGCGAATTCATTAAGGCCGTATTTATGTGGTTAGTGGCCTCCGTAGTCTAGGGGTAACGTTCCCACCTCATGACTCAAGGTACGCGGGTTCAAACCCAGCGGAGGTCGTGGAATTTTTAAGGGCGAAAAAATTCAGGGAACAAGTCCTCCGGGAGGGAGCAAAATTAGGCAAAAGTTTCCTGCCCAAATAGTTTCCAATGCCTCCGGTAGATGGGGAAGTTATCGGGTACCACTGCCAGAAGAGGGCCGACCTCGCTGGCAGAAAGGGGCAGATAGCGAGCACCAGTACGGGTAGTGTATGACGACAGTAGAAATTAAAGGGGGACGTACAATAGACTACTAGTCGCGGTGCATGGGGAAACCCATCCCCTCTAATACTGAATAACTGAATATTTATGTGCTTGATGGCGAAAGCTAGTGAACCGGTGAAACTGGGCGTTTGAAATTTGATACGGGTTTAGATCATCACCTCTGTGGCCTAGTGATCAGAATTCTTGCCTAGAGATCTAGAGGTCGGGGTTCGTTTCGCGGCGCTGATAGTTTTTCTGAGATATGGTGGGTCTGGAACGGTGTCCACTCAGCCTCGGTAGGATAATTGAGGAGCTATCCCAAGGAAATAGCGGCCCCGGTATAGAAAACCGAGATTAATGGCCGTGGGGATTCGTTGCGCTGACCACGCGACACCCTCTATCCCCAAAAGTTGGCACTAACTTCGCCGACAAGCGGCGGTCGTTCGGTCGGTATAGTTCGCTTGCGGACTAAAACCACGGATTTTGTTTGTTTGTTGGTAGATCATAAACTTGTCTGTGTCTTTTGTACGGCGCTATTAACCATGCTGTTGAATGGCCTCCAAAACCATAAGCACTGTTGTCGTCGTTTGTAGGGATGTTGTAAGTCGGGGATCACAAGCATTGCATCCGTTCATTGAGGTTATAACCAATAAATATAGTGTAGACAGAACATGTGCTTGAAAGAAGACATTGATACTGTCACTTCTCCCGGTTTTAGATTCGATGGTCGAATTTATTCGAGCTTCATACGACTAGTTAGGTTACAATAGTTCGCATATCACCCTCTGACACAGTGTTATCTTCCAGCTGGACACTGTTCGGTCGGTATACTGACTTCCAACTGAACTGAACTGAACTGAACTGTCAGTCAGAGTTAAAGTCACATTGTGGCTGACGGTCAGTCAGTCAATCTTGGTGTCGAGCCCGCACTGGGTCTTATGACCAGGTATTTATTAATGTTTGACAGTTTCGGTCTTGTTATTGTGGGTCGCCCTTTCTGACAAGAGGACGGGTCTGTCTTTTGTACATGTTGCTGGAACTTGCCGGCGCAGTCTTTCTGGGGTCCGAGTCCCAAGGGACTCGCAACCATATTCAACTGTCTCAGTTTTGAGACTTCCCTTTTCGTCGCCTCTTACGACTCGCAATGTCACGGTGGAGGTATTCAACCCCGTCTCCACACGGGTTTGAACTGTCAGTCAGTCAGTCAGTCAGTGTTGGTGTCGAGCCCAATCTGGGGCTCATGACTAGATATTTATTACTGTGTGACAGTTTAGGTCTTGTTATTGTGGGGCGCCCTCTCTGACGAGAGGTCGGGTCTGTCCTTTGTCAGATTCATTGTCTATAGTAGTAAGTGGCTTTGCGCAGTGGCAGTATCGTAACCAATGAGGTTTATCGGAAGTGCGATTATTGCTAGTTGAACTGTCAGTTATTGTTGTCTTGTTGATATATAGCCCCGGGTCGGACCACAGCACAGAAAACTTCCGTTACCTAGCAGTGGATATATGCAAACCACATAGAAAGAACACCTCCTGCGACAGCGGTTCTGCTGTTGCGTGAACGTATTGCGAGCGTTGCCTAGAAATGAGTATTCTCTATTGTTGATTGCGGGCTTGTTTACTGAGTCGTTCCCTAGCATTGGATCTTCACGTCACAATTCTGGCGTATTTATTCCATACAAGAACAGTTGAGGCACAGAAACAACCGTTGCTAAGCAGTACACGCACGCAACTATAGAACAACGGGGTTATGCAATCTGTTTCTGGGCAACTGCTCGGTAAACACATTTCCGCCTATGGGACCGTACTATGTAACGCGATGACGTCATCAATAATACAGAATGTGTTTTCAATGGGGTCTGTGCAGAGAAGTGAATTCAGAAGCTTGGAGGCGGGGTGAAAACCTCCACCGTAGCCCTGCGAGTCGTAGGAGGCGACGAAAAAGGAAATATCGAATCTGAGGCAGTAAAATATTGTCGCCAGTCCCCCGGGACTCGAATTCAAGAATGACTGTGCTGGCGAGGGCCAGCAGCAGTTGTAAACGTCAGACCCATCCTCCCATCAGAGAGAGCGCCCCACATCGACAAACCTGAACTGTCTGAGTAATAAAAATGTGGTCGTAAACCCCAGATGGGTGCCTTATTCTAAGACAGACTGGCCGACTGACCTTCGATCTTAACATAGACTCAGACTCAGCTAGGAGCGGTTGAGAGTTCAACTCTGTACGGGCGGCTGTGAAGAGAAGACTTTATATGTAATTCAGTGAAAACATTCTCAAGGTTTAGCCATTGTTTAGATCTGTTACTTAGCAACAACTATTGCAAGCAGATATAGAAGATTTTAATTATGTGTTATAATAGCGTAATCTTGAGCATATAAGAATTAATTGTAGTTACAGCTTGTGAATATCCAGTAAATCGACTCGCCGGTCCAAACCCTCGTCTATAGTCACTCCTACACGTGACAATACTAAATTACATGATGACGATGATGGTATTATTATTATTAAATAATTTTTAAAATATAATTCTAAGAGATGAACTGTTGTGATTGCTGTAGGTTTCGATCCTGTGACCATCTACTCACGAACCCAGCACGCTTACCCATGAGCAGGTTGTGGTTGAATTATAAATGTTACATTAACAACACGATATCTATAGGAGTTCGAAGACTGTGCAGTGTGTTGTGAATTCTGCAGAGTACTTCCTGTTTTCTTAGTGGTAAATGAAACGAAAGGAGCATAAACCATGAAGCTGTGTGTAACACAGTTTAACTAGCAACGTTTGTCAGAACTAACATTTCAGAGCTTTCATTAAACCGTTTTAACCTTTTGTTTTTGCTTACTTGGATTGCTAGGGCCATTGTTATATGTTACACTTAGATTAGTTAAATCTGTGAAAGCAGGAGTGTGAAGAAACGTGTTACACACTAAATCAGCCTTCAGTGTAGTTACATGAGCATTATCTTTAATAATACTATTATTTTGGTTCGTATCGTCACGTGTCCGGGGTTCCATGACGAATAATGGCGGGTTCTGGACTGGATGATTGGATTTGATGGCACTTCTGTTATAATTACAGTCAACTATTAACAGCTCACAGCCGGTCTCGGTAGCCGAGCGGTCTAAGGCGTGCACTGTCTTCGCTCGCTTGGAAACCGGGTTTCGTGGGTTCGAATCCCACTCAGGGCGTGGATATTTGTGTGCGTTTTTCTGTGTTTGTGTACAGGCAGAGGCCTTGCGACGAGCTGATCACCCGCCCAAGGAGTCCTACCGAATGTGTAAGAACTAGAAAACCGAAGTGAACGGAGAAGTTCATGGAGGTAGGCCTAGGCCGACTGGGGCTGTAGTGCCAAGGAAAAAAAATAACAGCTCAGAATCGATGACTGTCTCAGACTCGCTCCATTCCTTACTGGACTACGAGTGTCTTCTCTTCTGCCGTGACTGACTTCTTTCTGGTGTCTATTCTGATCTGAACTGACTTCCAGGCGAACGAAACATAATCACCGTCTCTAACAGTTCGTATATTACTTTGTTTTATTCGTTGCCAGATGAATGTGTTAGGCGAACCGTTGACTAGCGGTGGATATGTGCGTCTGTTAATGGCAGCGGGAACGTGTGTTACAAAACCGTTGCCTAGAAACGGCCATATTCATCACAACTTTGAAATGTGGGCACACGGTGCGGAAAGAAGTTTAGAACAGAATTGATGAAGCAACAATTGTTACACTGTTAATGCCGTATTTCTGTAATTTAAATTATTAATACACAATTCCGACGTTGATCACAAGGTAACGTATTTGTGGTGTTGCTGGATGCGCATAACCAGACCTTGTACTTGTTCGGCCCTGAGTGATCTTGCGTTATAATACGGGATGCGAAACATGTGGACGCACAGTACTTTTTATCGCCTGAAGTGATAGCGACGTGACAGACAAGCATGAACCCAGGACTTTAATGAACGTTGAATGCGATCTCACACATGAAGTGGTATAAAATTCGTGTACAGTTGGATAGCTCAATAATGCCGATACAGTGGATGCGTGCTGTGGGAATGCGGTGTGGTCATCCAGTTGGTCTCTTGCCCTCCCCTACCCACGCACCGTCACAAGGCTGCGTGGGACCCGTCACGGCGATGGAATTTGTGCTAAATCCCACATATGAATTTCGCATATACCCCGATATGTTTGTGATCACACGTTGTCCGCTTATTCTCTGTGATAGCCAAATGTGTTTTTGCTTCAGGACCCCATATTTATTTCATATATAAATGATAACATGTCGAAAAGTTTAAGTAATTTTTTGTCGCATAGTTAGCAGTGTGAATAGCGTGACCTTACCTTCATTTCGTTTCCATTAGACTGAAACTTGTGTGAAACGGAATTTAGATTAAACGGAAACTGGTTTTGTGCTCTTTTTTTCCCCCTTGGCACTACAGCCCCAGTGGGCCTAGGCCTACCTCCATGAATTTCTCCGTTCACTTCGGTTTTTCTTGATCTTACACATTCGGTAGGACTCCTGGGGCGGGTGATCAGCTCGTCACGAGGCCTCTACGTGTACACAAACACAGAAAAACGCGCACATACAAACTAAAGATCCATGCCCTGAGTGGGATTCGAACCCGCGATCCCGGTTTCCAAGCGAGCGAAGACAGTGCATGCCGGTTTTGTGCCCTACCGTAGCGATTTATTATTAATGTTCATTATAGACGATGATTGGTTCATACAGTGTATACTAAAATACGTTAGAAATTTCTTTATTACCTACTGAATTTATAAAGAAATTGTTCGAAATGACATTCTTCATGTTCGGAACACAAATCTGTGTACGATACCGTTCTACAAATTGTCTGGCAGGTTTAAACCTGAAGATTCCTATTAATACGAGAGAGTGATTTAGGTTAACTGACTTCTCGGCCACTGTGTTTTTTTTTCTAATCTGCAAATGCCTCTAGGTAGCGTAACTTAAACCTGGAAACATGACACAGTTCCTTTTTATTCCAGTGTACTTGTAACGAACCATAAATCAAATTGGGAGGGGGGGTCAATTGATTTCATATTTCACTGTAGTTATTTCCAAATGTGTTCTATAAGTAACGGGAAAATAGGCCACCTTAAATCGTGTCATCACGTAAATTTACATTAACATGCTTTGTAAAGCGATGTATTTATTTTTTATGTAACGATTAGGTAGCGCAGTTTATGTATCGTCGAATGATGAAACGATTAGTGTGAAGTGGTTCGACAAGATGTGTGAAAGGAAACGGTCGTGGTCTGATTTGACGTACTTCCTACCATTTGCCTGTAGGGACCGAGGAAAACGCCAAAAGGCCTCCGTCAGGGTAGCAGGTCTTCGGTCCGAGATTTGAACCCGCGACTTCCAAAATACGGCGCAGTAGTGTCGACCGCTAAGGCAATACAAAAATAATTATAGACCATGAATATTTTCATGATAAAAAATTGAAAGAAAAGTACAGTTCTTGTGTTTTTGGACATAATCCATCGTCCTGCGTTTTCATTTAAATCATCGTTTCGGAGACTGGATTCTGTCTTCGTCTTTAGGTAGAAACGTACTTAGTTGGGCCCAATTGATTGAGCTAGTTCATATGTCCAGCCTTAATTTTCCAACGCAAATGACTGTCGTATAATTATATAGGCCTACTTCGATCCTTCCTCAGTCGTATCGTGTTATTACATAGGCCTTCTTCAATCCTGTATTATTATTATATAGGCTTTTTCAAACCTATCGTGTAATCGTGTAGGCATTCTTCAATCCAATCGTACAGCCGTGTAGGCCTACTTCAATCCGGATCGTACAGTCGTGTAGGCCTACTTCAGTCCGATCGTACAGTCGTGTAGGCCTTCAATCCGATCGCACAGTCGTGTAGGCCAACTTCAATCCGACGTACAGTCGTATAGGCCTTCTTCAATCGGAGCGTGCAGTCTTGTTGGTCTGCTTTAATAAGATCGTGTAATCGTGTAGGTCTATTTCGATCCGCCTACTAGACCTTTGGGCTTCACTTGGATAATATGTAATGGATTTGGATATTTGGTTTTCTGGGTTGTGACATCATGTAAAACGTTTAGGAGGAACACGCTCTGACTCCCCTCTTCAGGCAGGCTTGTACACTGGTATCCACGGTGCCATAACCCAGAAGACCAGAACCCAAATCTTCGTGGCTGTGTAAACGTGTGATATGATACGTTTGTCGCAAATTACGGTTGATTCACCTGTGTACTGTAATGTGTTGTGTTGTTACAGGTGAGTGCGCCAGATGGTGTTGCTTGCGGCGGTGCAGGTTTTCTGCACCTTCGCCCTAGAGACCTACCTCCTGCCAGCTGGTCATCACACAGTAAGATACGCAACTGCTTATGTAATAGGTTTCAGTAAAGGTTTCAGGGAAGATTCCAGCAGGCGCGTTGTTGAGTTAGGCATCACTTGTGTGTCTTGTCTGCTCGCAGGATGTCATTGTGCAACTGACTGAACTTCTCTTCCTGGGAGAGTT